TTGCAAACCACATGCTAATATATGTTAATAATATGATATTTGTCATTATCTGTGAAGAACAGAGCTCATTTTCCTTCATGGACACTCGGGTTGTGAGTCAGAACGCAGCCGTTACAAAAGCTGTAAAAGGCCACTTTTATCTGTGTGAAAAAAAGGAGTTTGGAGGCTTTCAAACTGTGGTCTCAGGTGGGGGGTCAGAGGGACGTGAGTCAGCCGGCCTCTAAACTCACCAGTTTAGCCACATTTGTAAAGAAAATCCTTCAAAAATGGGAGTGAGAAGCAAACTGGCTGCAGCCTGAAAACTGATGAGTCAGCGATAAGTGGCTCCTTAACCCTTTAACGCCACGTTTATTATATCTGACGCCCACGGTTACGGTCATCTTTTGTATTTGAGGCCTTTTGCATCATTTAAGGGTAAAAACTCTGCTTAAAACCCTGCTTTACACAGTCAGATAAACCTGATTACAGCCGGCAGAAAATTAAACCACAATAAATCTGACTTATCGAACTGTAATAAGTTATGAATATTCAAAAACTTCTGTTTATTTGTTCATATTTTGTTCATATTTTGTTAAAGGATCAAATAACTTAAAAAGACTTAAAACAAACAGAAAAATCTCAATTTTTTTCTTGAATCAGGCTTTAAAGGGTTAGGGAAAAAAAACGTTTTATGCCGTTTTATTATTCAAAATTAACACTTTCAGCATCATCAACTATAAATTCACCAAAAAAATATCCTAGATCCGGCCAACGTGAAGTTAAAACCATTTTTTGTGTCTGAAATTAACTAAAGTTTTATTCAGCCAGCCTGTAAACAACTTGGCTTCCATTTAAATTAGAGGCTTTGTCATGAATATATCTCAAATCGTGACATTTTTATTGAATAGCACAGTTTGAGGAAAAAGGGGAAAACTGTTTAGTTTGACAATTAAAGCTAAACGTTTGTTGATATAAAGTGGAGGAAAAACGTTTATTTCTGACCTCTAGTGGATGGAGGGAGGCCTTAGACCAAAGAGGAAGCTCCTGCTCAGCATCCCGTCCCGTGTTTTTGTTACTCCTGGTGACTGTTGCCGCGGCAACAGAACAACTCTGTAGGCAAGGCAACAATTTGATGCAAAAATAGAAGAAAAAAGAAGAAGCTGTGGATGAATATTTAGTCTATAACCGCCCTATTTTTTGGTTATTGGCATCAAATTCAGATGCATTAATAAGCTAAACCAGCAAATATAAAAAATAAAATGTAAAATTTGATACAAAAATTTGCTTCTTTGCGCCTGTATATTTTATAATGTCATAAGAATTTAAGTTTGTTTCTCCTAACAATTTCCATCCCAATCTTGTAAGATTTAAAAAGGAATAAAACCAAACTGCAGGCTGGTCTGATTGTTCTGAGTAGATCTTATTTAAAGAATTATGACCCGTATCAAACACTGATACAACATAGATTTAGACATAATTTTTAGATGAATATTTAACGTTTTGATTCAGATTTATGTAGATTTAGCATTCCTATCTAGATTTAGATTGAACCTTTACACCTTATTTATTAAAGATATAGATCTAATCTTTAGATGACATATCAGATTTTACATTCAGATTGAATCTTCACACATCATAAATCAGAATCAGAATCAGAAATACTTTAATAATCCCAGAGGGAAATTAGTTTTGTTACTAGCTCCATAAATAAAACAACAGCATATATATATATATATATATATACACACAAAATTCCACACAGAATATAGATAAATATATACATAAATAACCATATGTATATATATATAGGTCTAAAATAAGTGGTAGTGATAATGTCAATAATTTAGTTTGACTCTCAGAGGGAGAGGTAGGTTAACTCCCCCTTAAACATGAGAACATCAGATAAATAACTGTAAATAATAATAACTGTTAAGTAATGAATAATATTAATAAATAAGAAAATAAATAATAATAATAATAATAATAATAAT